ATAAGTAGCAGTAAAACCTTTCGAGTCAATGCTAGTAAAAGGATAAATGGCGTTAATAAATGGTGTCCCAAGTATAATAGGAGGGTATAACTGGTTTTATATAATGGGCGGTAATCCGCACGGCCTTCTCAACTAAGCTAAAATAGAAATCACCGTTTGACCGGGAACTGGAATTATTTCGCACCTCTACTGACTTTTATATGTCCACCGAGGTTGCCACCAGTTAAAGATTTCTATTTTAACATATTTGAGAATTCTCAATCTAGCTAGTTCAGTACCCTTATATTTAAAGACTGGCGGTAATCCGCACAATCAGTAAGGATATAAGAATTGAAATATACTTGAATTTTATATATAGTTTAATGACTGTATGGAAGGTTAAAAACCTTTACTCAAGCAAGGGGTCTGTCATAATATAATACATACTTTTATTGAGCCCATGTGTCTAGCAGTTCTAACCGTGAAAGAAGATGCCCTTTTTAACTCCTTTATCGGGCTGAGGTTCACGGCTGGCTAGACGAAGCCACTAAGGCAAAGCCAATAAGAGCAATGTTATATTAGACTGTACCAACCATCCTGACACCAAGTCAAAACTCTATATATAAAGTTCATTTATATTTTAATAGATGCCATCTCTTTCATGGTTTATATAGGAGAGAAGTTAGATACTCAACATAGATATGAAGTCTCTTAGCCGGACATCGTCACGACCAGAGAGGAGAGACTAGAAGAAAATCTAACTAAGAAAGAAATCAGTACCTTTTGGCCGGGATGCAAGGCCTGAAGATGAAGAACTGAAAACTTTATTTACTTTGGTCTTCTGTTACAAACAGCAAACTATAAACTATTATACTTTGAAGAGAGAGAGAGAGAATTCTAGAGAGAGAGGGTCTCGCTTCCTTCCTCTTCTTCTAAACGAATGAAACGTATAAATAGAAAAAACGAATCTATGAACAGTAAAAAGTGGGTCCTATGGGTCTCTGTTACAGTATTTTTACTATACAAAACAGTATTTTTACTGTTGATAAACAATGTATCTACTGTTGATGAACAGTGTATCTACTGTTTGAGTGGGGTCCGGCGGCTTCACTGTGCTATGGGTCCGGTGCCTTCACTGTGTTTGTGGGGTCCAGCTATTTCACTGTGCTGGTCTTTTGTCTGATTCTTTCATTTTGCGGAGGAATTCTTTCGCATTCTGCAAATCTTCATCAGATAGTATTTTCTCTGATTCAAAGGGTTGAGAATCTTCAGCGATATCATCATTGCTGGTTTCACTCTGCATAGAAGTGTCTTATTTTTCATATTGATTAATGGAACAAAGTAAATTTCTTTTGACTTTTTCCAAGTAGTTGTTAATCATTTCTTCTTTATCTCCTTCTTGAAAGGAGATCTTTCTGGCAATATGTCGTACTGAGATGTCATCAATTACCTCTTTCTGAGGTTTGCTAGAATATTCTTGGATTTTTATTTTGATGGAATCCAAGAGTTCTTGACCATATAATGTCTTTGTTTTGGGATCCTTTTTCATGAGTTTATCCCAAAAGTTGTTGTAAAAGGTCCTGTATAAGCATGGGACTTGTTCTTCGGTGAATCCGACTTCTGAAGTCCATTTATGAATCCAGGGAATAGAGAATTCCAGAAAGAAATAAATTTGGTCAATTTTTTCTGGGTAACAGATATGATCTGTGTGATATAAATTGTTTATAAAAGGGGAAATTTTTATCCATTCTTTGTATAACATGAGAAATGGATCAGGTAAATTTTTTACTGTCGGACCGTGGTATGACCACCAGTTTAGAAACCAATTAGGAATAGCCTCTGCAAATATCTTTGCACATACTTTAATAAACCAAGTATGTTTGTGTCGATCATTATTGTAGTATAATACTTTATCAAATGCCTGGATATAATCCCAATAGGTAAAATTCATTCGAGATTTGTTAAGGCTTATCTGCCTTTCTTTCATTGTGGATATACCCCAGTCTTCAACAGATATAATCTGTTTAATTATAATCTTCAAGAAGTTATAAACATTCTCATCTGTGCTATAACCAGAAAAGTGCTGAAACTCTGCACTGCCAGTACTGGTGAGTATTGTTTCATAATAAGAGCGAGTTTTGTATGACTCATCCGGATAATATAATCCATTTATCAAATACCTTTGAAATATCTTCCACGGCTCTTCTTTTCTCTGAATATCAGAATTTTCTAAATGAAATATCATTTCTTTTTTAGACACTTTCTCATATGACTTGATATCATCATTGTCATCTTTTATAATGGAAGCAAAAGTATCACTTTGCTTAGCAGAAGTATCTTTCTATTTTTGAGCAGTCAAATATGCCTGCAAATGTGTGTATAACGGACTATCTTCCAGATGGACGGATGGTCTGATCGATGATTCTTCTTTGAGAGATATCCTCTCATTGGTTAAACTCTTTCTTCCCATTTGTATAATTGGGGAGTTTGATGTGGATCCGTATGACGATCCTGAAGGTGATGATCTTCCTCTGGACTGTGGGGATGATCTTCCCCAACCTCTACCTCTTCCCCTACCCCAGGGGGGTTCCATCCTGTAAATATTCACGAGATAAGAAATCTGGCAGAGAATTATCAATTCCCTTTTTATATTGTATTTCAAAATCAAAAGGGGCTAATTGAGCCTGCCATCTTGCAAATATCATTTTTGAGGCATCATGTTTAAAGTCTTTGTTAAACATATATTTAACAGATTATGCGTCAGTTTTTATCAAAAACCTTTGATTGTATAAATCGTCTTGAAATTTTAAAACACATTTTACTATGGTTAACATTTCATGTGCCACAGTAGTGTATTTTCACTGGGCTTCAGACCATTTACCAGAGTAGAATCTAATCAGATATTCATGCTTATTATTGGGATTTATCTGTTTCAAAATACCTCCGTAACCAATATTAGACGCATCAGCCTCTATAATCTTTTGCCATGCAGGATTAGCAAGGGTTAAGCAAGGTAAAGATTTAACACGTTGCTTAATATTTTTAACTAAAGTAGTATGACTATCAGTCCAAGAATTTTTATAATCCTTCTTTAGCCTATCATATTAGGGGGCTAAATCACGTGACAAATCTTTATAAAAGGGTGATATATAATTTAAACTTCCCAAAAATCTTTGTAACTGAGTTCTATCAGTAATAATATCGGGAAATTTTGAGGCAAAATTGATCGATCTTTGAATAGGAGTAATCTTTCCTTGACAAATATAACGTCCTAAAAATCGAATGTTAGTTTGGAATAAACTCATTTTTTGTTTTGAGATAACCAAACCATTTTGTATCACAATTCTTTTAAAAATATCTAAATTCTTAATATGCATTTCAAGTGTTTTGGAAAATACCAAAATGTCATCGATATAAACAATGATAAAGTCTAGATAGGGGTTGAAAATATCATTCATTATTTTTTGGAATTCAGAAGGGGCATTCTTCAAACCAAAAGGCATAACATTCCATTCATATTGCCCAAATGGAACATTAAAAGTAGTTCTATAAGTATGTTCTTTAAATATTTGAATCTGCCAATATCCAGATTATAAATCAAATTTTGAAAATATATTTGCATCATATAATCTTGACAATAAATCTCTTTTATTGGGAATAGGATACCTAACCCACTTCAAATATTTATTCAAGGGTTTATAATTAATGACCAATCTAGGAATACCACGTTCCTTTTCAGCTGCGTTATTAACATAAAAAGCTGTGCAAGACCAAGGAGACTTTGAGGGTTTTATCAAACCCTTTTGTAACAAGTTATCAATCTCCTTTTTGCAGAATTCCACTAATTCCGCGTTCATCTGACAAGGTCTAGATTTAGTAGGAATATCATCCTCAGAGAAATTATCTTCATAAGGCAGAGTTACAATATGCTTTTTTCTATTCCAAAAAGCACTGGGATGTTCTGCACAAATATCAATAGCAATACTTTCGGAGATCAATTTGATATTTTCCTGTACTTTAGTAGAATTCAAAGTATCAAATATATTCATACTAAACAATTCTAACTACAAAGAATCAATATGTTTCTGCTTCATATCAATTAAAGCATTAATATCTCTAGTTACTGGATCTGTAACAAAAGTATAACTTATCTCTTTATCCTTATAAGTAGCAGTAAAACCTTTCGAGTCAATGCTAGTAAAAGGATAAATGGAGTTAATAAACGGTGTTCCAAGTATAATAGGAGGGTATAATTGGTTTTTAACCAAGAAAAAGAAGTGAGGAATACAGACTTTATTCTGACAAATACCCGTATTAGGTAGTTTATACTTTATATCTAAAGCATGTCCGGATGCAGATCTAACCATATGAGTAGTTTTTTGAAAATATTTCGTAGGTATTAAGCCTTCTTGAATGTAGCTAACATCTGCTCCACTATCAATCATGGCAATGTTTGTAATAGAAAAACTATTATCAATGAGAATAGTACATTTGATATACCATTTATGAGCAGTAATAATTTACATCATTCCTAAAAACATATCATGTTTAGGATCAAAACTAATAGGTTTTTCTTCAACATCATTTTCGGAAATACCTTTGTTTTTATCATTAGATTTCTCAGCTGGAGAATTAATTTTCTCAATCTGAGTAATCCTATGATCACAAATTATTTGATTTTGCTTAAGAGATTTGATCTCTCGTTTCAAGTTTTCAACTTCAACTTTTAAATCATTGAAAGAAGAATCTCTTGCTGGAGTTGCATTTTTATTTGAAAGACGGTTATTAACCTCTAGTAAAGAATAAGGCGGGGAATATTCAAAAGGTTTTGAAAAACTAGAACTTGATTTAGAACTTGAACTAGCAGCCAAATTAATAATTTTTTCACGAAGTTTTTCATCAGTAACTTCCTTTAAAAGTTCTATTACATTATCAGATGTAATAGTTTTCATGTTCAAATCTTGAAACTGTGATTGTAATTTATAAAATTTATCGTCATCACAAGTACATGTATTACCTTTTCAAGTTGTACAAGTATTATCAATATTTTTATCACTATCAGATAAATCAAGTAGATCTATTTCAGCTTCGGATTCTGACTCAGAATAATAATAATCAGATTCTGATCTAGAAGTGTATAACAAACCATAAACCTTATCACGTAACTCATTGTCTAGTTCTAAGGTTTTCAGCTTTTGAAGCTTACAATTAGGGGCTATATGGCCAAATTTACCACACTTGTAACACTTAATGTCAGCAAGATCTCGCTTAGACCTATTTTTGGTAAATCTAGTAGATTTGCGATGGGCTTTCTTGGCTTCTCGTTCTTCTTTGGATCTATATCTAGATCTCTTTTTCCTATAAGGACTGTCTTGGTTAGGGTATATATGATACTTATGTTTTTTCTTCTTATGAGTAGAAGTCTCGGGTAGACCGAACTGGGTACAAAAATCTCCTAACTGGGATTTTTCCTTAAGCTTATCCATTTTAAGTTGTCTGGACAATCTTAACTCATTGCACAGGTTTAACCCTTCCTGTGTGCAAATTCCTATCATCTTACCATAGGTATAATCGTTGTACGGGATTTCACCATAACTACCTCTTAGAGTTTTTCTAACTCTTTCAGCGAATAAGGAGGGAAGGCCATCTATAAACTTTGCTTTCCAATGGTCAAATTTATTTTCGGGTAGTTCCATAACCCTACTCATAAAGGTATCCTTATACCATCTGAATTCACCTAAGGTCCTACATCTAAGACCATTAAGGAGAGTACGAACTGTTTCATGTTGGTTGGTAAATCTACCGTTGAAGTGTTCTAATATAGTAAGAATAAGGGTGTAAACGACATCTTCTCTATTTGCCACTAGGGCCATGCCTAAGTTATCAACTCCTTCGTCAGAGGCTGTAGCATTAATAACCATTGCCCTTTCTTCTAGAGTCAAATAATTGTCCCACCAGCCACGAAGTTGACCAGTAAAACCTGCAACAATCATTTTGCAAATAGTTCTATCTGTATTTTTCACACTTTTACAGATAGTCGCATACATAAGCATTCTATGCATAAGAATAGTCAAATTGCCGATCAGTTAATCCATCAAGATTCCATTCATAAATTTCAGAACCACTATAAGACGTATTAGTCTGATTCCAATCACGTTCCTCTATTAAAACATCTTGAGGAGTAGGACGATTGTAATAATAAGTTTGCATTCTGGGTTTATCAGCATATCTGCTATCAGCAAACTTACTATTCTTTTTGGGATAACCTCTGAGTTTATTAAACTCTGACAAAACATCATTTTTATAGTCAAAAGTAGTATCTAATTTATCAGCAAAATCATTTGATAAATCAATGGATTTGATATTTAAACCGGATAACTTTTTATCAAGAAGTTCTTCTAAATCATAAAAAGATCTAAATTTAAAATCCTGAATCTCAGGGGGTCTTTGAACATGAGTAAGAACAGTTTGAGGTTCTGATTTGCTTTAGAGGCAATATCAGTCAAAATCTTACTAGTATTCATATCCTTAATTAAGACTGTCAAATCATCAAGTTTTTTATTAAGAAAACTGATATTTTCACCCAAAACTTTAACATATAAACTCAAATAACTATTTTGTGAAATTAATTTATTAATTTCTGCGATGCTGACTGCAGCAACATCTTCATCAATAAATTTTTGAAATGCAGTGAAAGTAATACCTGTATTATTAGGTAAAACAAAAGGTGCTTGAGGAGGGTAGATGGCTTTAGTAATATTGCCACTCCCGTCTTTATAAGATCTTTCCAAAACTTTTATAAATAGTGGTAAATAGGTGGTTATAAATAGTGGTAAATCCTCTTTACTATAAGTATCAAAAAACCAAGTTTTAATCTGGTTCCATTTATTACTGAAAAGTTCTATTTGGATATAACCTCTAGCTTGTGACCCTGGACTAAAATTAATTTGGTGTGGAATCATTTAAACTTCATTTGGGTCAAAATCCATTATGGACGCAGAAGGGATATCCTTATCAGAAATATTATCATTATCCTGAACAATATTGGTCTTGGGGTTAATCTTAACCCTTTCAACAGGTTTATCACCTACTTTTGTAGAAATTGTGTGTAAAGATGCAACACGATTTCTAGCTGGTCCATAGACTAGTTCAACAAGAGAAATGTGTTGAATATCAGGCAACAGTCTACGATTGGTAAAGGAATGTCTATTATAATTAGAACTAATAGCAGGCAACAGTCTATTATTAGAAAATGACTGTCTACTATAAGTGGAACTATTATCATCAAACTGAATGCAAATCCTTCCATCCGGATTTTGAGTAATATGAGAATACTCAGTATTACTGACAGCATTAGTTATCTGATTGGGGGATATAACCGAATCCAAAGTCTATGTAGTTGGAAAATTAATTTCTTCCCACTTAATAGGTCTCCTCGTGGTGACCTTAGACTTTGCAAAATTCGTTTCCACTAATATAGTCTGATCAGATGTATCATATAATTTACATCTAGGGTTTAACGTTGATAGCAATTTAAAGTAAATCCTATATGATAAACATATTAGTTCAGAACCAGGCGCATAATTATAACCATGTGTTTTCACATTTAATGTTAATGCATCAAGTATATTAACATCAGATAAAGATAATTGCAGATTGGGTTGAGTATTAAAATATACTGGGCCGTAGGCGACAGTAGATTCAATAGAACCCATTAGAGACTGTCTAAAATTCAGATTTTTGGCATCTCTGAGAGCAGCCAAAAACATCTCTGGTAACCCTTTAAGGGTTAATGGCTTAAAAGCAATTTGAACCATACCAATATGCATATAATTATATTGGTTTCTATAAATTTCTACATCATGCTTGTTTAACAAACGAATAGTCTGTTCAGACGAATTTAAAGCTAAAGATTGCTAAGTTGTTTTAACAAGTTGTTTAGAAGAAAGCTTATCAAACCATCCATAATCATAGATTGTCCTAATAGGGACTTTAAGAATCGTCCACTTATTTAACAAATTCAGGTTTTGAGGTATATCTACCTCTTCCAACCTAGTATTTTTCATACTAGTTTCTCCTAAATTCATATTTCAGAAACATATCTATGTCGAATATTTCATATCTATCTCATATATACCATGAAAGTACCTAGGCTCTGATACCATTTTAACAGGATCAAGTGGCGGGCGGTAATCCGCACGGCCTTCTCAACTAAGCTAAAACAGAAATCACCGTTTGACCGGGAACTGGAATTGTTTCGCACCTCTACTGACTTTTATATGTCCACCGAGGTTTCCACCAGTTAAAGATTTCTATTTTAACACATTTGAGAATTCTCAACCTAGCTAATTCAGTACCCTTATATTTAAAGACTGGTTTATATATGGTTTAATGACTGTATGGAAGGTTAAAAACCTTTACTCAAGCAAGGGTTCTATCTTAATATAATACATACTTTTATTGAGCCCAAGTGTCTAGCAGTTCTAACCGTGAAAGAAGATGCCCTTTTTAACTCCTTTATCGGGCTGAGGTTCACGGCTGGCTAGACGAAGCCACTAAGGCAAAGCCAATAAGAGCGGTGTTATATTAGACTGTACCAACCATCCTGATACCAAGTCAATTATTATTATTATTATTATTATTATTATTATTATTATTATTATTATTATTATTATTAAAACCAGTTATACCCTCCTATTATACTTGGGACACCGTTTATTAACGCCATTTATCCTTTTACTAGCATAGACTCAAAAGGTTTTACTGCTACTTATAAAGATAAAGAGATAAGTTATACTTTTGTTACAGATCCAGTAACTAGAGATATTAATGCTTTAATTGATATGAAGCAGAAATATATTGATTCTTTACAGATAGAATTGTTTAGTATGAATATATTTGATACTTTGAATTCTACTAAAGTACAGGAAAAGATCAAATTGATCTCCGAAAGTATTGATATTGATATTTGTGCAGAACATCCCAGTGCTTTTTGGAGTAGAAAAAAGCATATTGTAACTCTGCCTTATGAAGATAATTTCTCTGAGGATGATATTCCTACTAAATCTAGACCTTGTAAGATGAACGCGGAATTAGTGAAATTCTGCAAAAAAGAAGATTGATAACTTGTTACAAAAGGGTTTGATAAAACCCTCAAAGTTTCCTTGGTCTTGCACAACTTTTTATGTTAATAACGCAACTGAAAAGAAACGTGGTATTCCTAGATTAGTCATTAATTATAAACCCTTGAATAAATATTTGAAGTGGGTTAGGTATCATATTCCCAATAAAAAAGATTTATTGTCAAGATTATATGATGCCAATATATTTTCAAATTTTGATTTAAAATCTGGAGACCTATTAAGTGGGAAGAAATTAATTTTCCAACTACATGGACTTTGGATTCGGTTATATCCCCCAATCAGATAACTAATGCTGTCAGTAATACTGAGTATTCTCATATTACTCAAAATCCGGATGGAAGGATTTGCATTCAGTTTGATGATAATAGTTCCACTTATAGTAGACAGTCATTTTCTAATAATAGACTGTTGCCTGCTATTAGTTCTAATTATAATAGACATTCCTTTACCAATCGTAGACTGTTGCCTGATATTCAACACATTTCTCCTGTTGAACCAGTCTATGGACCAGCTAGAAATCGTGTTGCATCTCTACACACAAATTCTAATAATCTCGAATGAATTTTAATAATTTTATTATTATTATTATTATTATATATATAGTCTGACTCCTAGCGATATTACGCACGAATTATGTCGAGGTTGCCCGATCCCTAATAATAGTGTACACTGCCGAGGTCGTACGGCCCAGTCCATAGATGTTTTTTAAATATACTATCGAAGTCGTACGACATGATCCATAATGCTATTTCATAGCACTGTCGAGGCGTACGGCCCAATCCACATGAATAGAGGGCCTTTTCAAACTACGGGTCACATAATATCACACAAGGATAGGAACATAAAGAAAGTGTGATTTTTACCAGCAATCAAGTATCCCGCCAAATACTCAAGGTAAAGAGGCTCGGCCTCACAAAAATCTCTAATCAAATCTCAATTATAAATTTAAGTAATTAAACTAACAAGTTCAGTTCAAGTGATATAAATATTGAATGGTAAAGTCCTAAGTCTAACAGGACATAATCATGATATTAGCTACGCATGGACTCTCGTCCTCTCGTACGTACGTAGCACCCATAACAAATAGCACACAATAATTAAAATACCTACAAGGATGATTTCCATCTTACAATATTAGGCAAGAGACTTACCTCACTTCCAAGCCCTCTACTCGGCTCTCAAACCTCACTAGTCGCCTCAAAACAACGTCGAGCAACCCGAAACTAATCAAATGACGCATCAATCAATCAATTTATGTTCAAAGGTTCATAATTTAACTATTAGAGTAATTTTCCAACCCCGCTCGAAAAGTCCATAAAAGTCACTTCGGGCCGACGTGTTCGGATTCCGAAAATATTTTTAGCTAAATATTACCCATGACCTTACGAACTCAAAAATATAAATAATATCCAATTTCATCATCAAATTCGCGGTCAACTTCTATTTTTACTAAACCCTAAGGTTTTCAACAAAATCCCATAATTCTACTAATTTTCATGTTAAAATCTACCCATAATTCATGTATTTAACTCATATTAGGTAGAAATCACTTATCTTATAGTGCTTGATGATAATCTCCTTCCAAGAAACTCTAAAATCGGCCAAGCCAAATGAGAAATGGGAAAAAATGAGTCTAAGTCTCGTTATTAAAATGGTGTTCTACCCAGGCATTACGTATTTGCGATCGCGAAGGCAAAGCTGCCATCGCCCCAGAAATACTCATTGCGAACGCGACCAAGGACCCGCGATCGCGATGGCTAACCAGGCATAACCTTCGCGAACGCGAAGGTCAATGGCATGTCGTCCCCCAGCCCCACCTCCTTCTTTGCAAACGCGTCTTCCCTTTCACAAATGCATAGCTTCACTTCCCCAAGCCTTTGCGAACGCGATCCCATCAACGCGAACGAGATCCCACCAACGCGAACGCGATCCCACCAACGCGAATGCGAAGCACAAAAATGCCCAAATCCTTCATTGTGAACGCGAGACTTCCTCGACGTTTGCGAAGAACAAAATCAGCACCAGGAAATCTACCAACTTAAATTTTGTTCAGGGTAGTCCGAGACACACCCGAGCCACCAGAAACCCCGTCCAAATATACCAGTAAGTCCATAAACATAATACGGACTTACTCGAAGTCTCATAACTCGTAAAATAACATCAAAACTAATAATTGCACCTCAAAACCAAATTAATCAACCTTTGAACTTCAAACTTCTTTCAACTAACTCCGAAGGAGTCGAACCACACTTATAAAACTCAAAATGACACCAAATTTGATGCATAAGTCACAAATCACAATACGAGCCTATTCCAAGATTCAAAATCCCAAACAGACATCGATAACACCAAGGTATACTTCAAATCAAACTTACTAAACT